TGTTCTTCTCATATATTTTATTATGGTATGATACTAAATCCCTAACGGGAGGGATTGTACTTGATTTTCATATGATGAAGACATTATCTTTCAATCAGTTTAATTGAGGTTTGGAGCTGGCATGTCAGTAACTGCTAGTAGTCCTTTGTTTATTTATGTATCATTGTCATTTTGCTTAGTTTCTTTTGTAACCTATTTTGACATCGGACTCGCACTTCTTTTAAACTGAGTTTTACTGTGTGTATTGCTATGTGTTTATTTTTTCTACATTGGCTAGAGGTATAGGGGAGGGTTGAGATCTCACAAAACATGTTTAACCCCGCCGCATTTTTGCGCCTGCCCCAAGTCAGGCGCCTCTGGCCTTTGTTAGTCTTGTATGTTTTTTAATATTAGTTCATTTATATGTTTTGGAGTTTAGTGTGACGTCCATTTTCACTGAACTAGTACACAATTTTATTTAGGGGCCAGCTGAGGACCACCTCCGGGTGCGGGATTTTCTCTCTGCATTAAAGACCCATTGGTGGCCTTCGGCTGTTGTCTGCTCTTTGGTCGGGTTGTTGTCTCTTTGACATATTCCCCATTTCCATTCTCAATTTTATTCAAGTACCCGGTTTGTGTTTGTACCGGCCGACAAAGCAGCAATCAATGTGGTGGTGGTATGCCGTAAATACTACATGGATGTTCTCAAAAAAAAAATTTCAAATTCTTCTACATTCAAGTCCGTGCGCTTCACAGAGAATCATATAGTAAACAATCGGATCATAACCATAACCACATCACGGTTTAAGTCCTCTTCTGAACATTTGAAGGTCCCTACTGTGTATTGGTACCTAAACTACAAAAAAACAGTTAAATATCGTTTCATCTCGGCATCAAGTAGTGTTCTACAGCTATTCTTTCAGTGATTTTAATTAGTCCCTTAACTACTTTCAAAGAACTTATCATTAACTTTTGCTTCAAAACATACATTGTATGAAAATAGTGGATTTTTTTTTGGAGTGTAAAAAAATCTTTGGATGTTTTAGATAAATTACGTGCTTTTGATGCTTCTTTTAATTCTGTTGACATTTTTGACTTTTCAATTCTATACACTACACTTCCACACAATCTTATCAAACACAAGTTTTCCTATCTAATTAAATGGTCGTATGATAAAATTGATTGCAAATATATTTGCTGCAACTCATTTAAAGCCTTCTCCTCTAAATATAATGAGAAAGGTAAATATGCTAGATATATTTACTGGAGGTGTAATGAGATGATTGAAGCTGTTCATTTTCTCCTTGATAACATTTATGTACGTTTCGGCTATAAAGTTTATCGACATGTTGTAGGTATTCCTATGGTACCAATTGTGCCGCTTTAATAGCAGACTTGTTCTTGCACTGTTATGAATCACAGCTTATGACTAAACTCAGTAAAGACCCGTCTAAATTGCATTTAATTGATGAATTCAATAACACTTATCGTTAACTTACCGTTATCTTGATGGATTTTTTCGTTAGATAATCAAGATTTTCTAAATATACTGCCAAAATTTACCAAAAGGAATTTACTTTAAACAAATCAAGTATGAACGGTAATAACTGTCCTTTCAGTTTTACACGGGAAACTCTACACAAAATTTATGATAAAAAGGGACGATTTTTCGTTCCCTATTGGTAATTTTCCTTTTTTGGAGGGTGATGTTTCTTTGGCATCATCTTACGGTGTTTATATATCACTACTCGTTTGCTGTGCCCATGTCTGTTGTAACGTTTTGGATCTAAATGTACGTAGTCTATGTATTACTGGTAAATTAATTAAGTCGGGGATTTTGTTACCACAAATTACTTAAAACCTTTACTAAATTATTTCATAGATACAAATATTTGGTTTGGAAGTTTGGCTGTACCCGTATAAAACTTATTTCAAACGGGATAGCACATCCTAATTTATACGGCGATGTTGTTTACTCGGAAAAGATACAATCCGGGTAAACTTATCGATCCTTTAAATAAACTTATTCTAAAAGGTTACCAATTCAAAACAGTAATTAGATTTTGGAATTTTGTTTTTATTGGTATTAATATTGATTTTGTTATCAGTAAATTAAAATCAAACTTAATATCATTTTTGTATACAAATGCACATTCATGGCTCTACAATCAGTCGATACCTGTATCTTGGCATGGCACAAGAGCATGTTTTTTCTCTGACTATTAATGACATCTTTAACTAAATCCATTGGATGTTGGATGTGTACTGATTGATATTTTAGTCTTAGATGCATAACTTTTTCATTAGTTGTTTTTAGCTTTGAACTAGCTGTCAGTACTTGCTAGTATTCTCAGAGCTGTACTTTATGTCTTTTTTTGTTGTGGGGATGTATGAATACCCTGCCGCGTCTGGTCTGTGTTTTGTTAGATGTTTTCTGCTTTGTATCGATCTGATGAGTTAATCCCTTTTCAACCGATTTTTATAGTTTGTTCTTATGTTGTACTATTACACCACTGTCCCAGGTTAGGGGAGGGGTTAGCGCCAACAAACTAGTTTAACCCCGCCACATTCTGTATGTACATTTCTCAAGTCAGGAGCCAGTAATTCAGTGGTTGTCGTTTGTTGCTGGTCACTGTATGTCATATTTGTTTTTCGTTCATTGCTTTTTACATGAATCTGGCAGTTAGTTTTTTCTCGTTTGAATTGTTTTACATTTGTCATTGAGGGGCCTTTCATAACTGACTATGCGGTAATGGTTTTGCTCATTTTTGAAGGCCGTACGATGATCTATAGCTGTAAATTTCTATGTCATTTGGTCCCTTGTGGAGAATTGTCTCATTGATTATCATACCACATCTTATCTTTATAAAAAAAACAATGCACACAAATATATGACTTCATTATGAGCAATATTTTTTTACTATTCACTATGGATGCATAATTTATTTCATATCTTACTAATTTCATCGAAAAGTATTGCCTTACAAGATGTTTAATGTCTTCGGTGACAATAAATATATTTAATAATGCATGTTTCTTTACATACAGTAATGTAGGACAACGTCTATCATTAAAGGAAAATAAAATGCATGGTATTAAAATGGTGATAAATTCACACCAATACTCAACTTTAAAACATTTGGCATCAAGTGACAGTAAATGAAAATACAAAAACAAGTCCATATTCAATCAACGCAGTGCAAACGTAAACGTTTGATATGACTACGTTGGCCCAGACATACTTCAAACAAAGGATGTGTTATTGCAACAATGGGCCAACGTTTGACCTATGTATTACATACAACCATACAAGGTTGGGCCAACGTTGAGCCATTATGTTGTGCCAACATTGGCCCACTTTACACTTACACATTAATGTAAACGAAATGAAATATGTTGGGCCACTGTTGTGCCAACGTACTGATGTCGGTCTGGAACGTTGTGCTTAGACATCCTTTTTTTTTATTGCCTTAAATGAATAAATTAATACGAAAACGCTGCCAAGTTCGGTATGATTGATGACTTGAATATTTCATCTAATATTTAGTTATTAAATTATTTGTTTTCGTCTTGTATTTGCATGAACTAGGAGTGGAGCGATAACCATCAATCATAAGATGATATACAAGTATTAGCTTTTAAAAAAGGTTGTCTGACTTTAGCGTTACTAGAAGGTATAGCAAGTTCTAGTATAGGTTAAGGATTTTAGTTAATGAGGGTCTTATATTGTATTTAAGGTGGGCTGTCTTCTGCTACGAAAACATACTTTAGAATATGGAATCAATGTAAATGTAATATGTACCACATTTTGAAAAAATGGTTTGGACTCCCAGTTTTCAGATAAACCATGTATCTTAACCGTTTGAAATATATCAATGCATTCTTTAAGAATCAAACTCCGATATGTACTCAATGAATGCAATATACAGAAATAGAGGAAAGTTTTCAAACTTTTCTAACACAAACAAACCAACAAAAAGTTGATAAATTAAAAATGTCTGATGTGAAAGCTGAAAATGGGAAACAAAATCACTGGTACCAATTAAAATATTAATCATTTATATGCAACAGTGACTATTCTAAATAGATAAATTTTCAATGCCAAAAACCCAAAATTAACTATATTATCAGATTTGAGACGGTTATCTTTTCAGTAAAAGCTATTGCTTATCCAATTACAAGCTTTTAAGAAATGTTTTTAACTGCGCAATTCATAACGATACAGTATTAATCACATTTGAGACGCAATGCATGCCAAATTGTCATTGAAACAAATGTCCGATAATCTAATGCCTGACGTCGTGACGCCCAATTAGCTGAAATTACAATGCCAAAAAAAAAAAGATTTTTTTTATACCATAAGCTTTTAGACGTCATACAATTACATTTATACTTAGCTGTGTGCTTAAGTTTTTTAGTTCTTGAGGTGATTTTAGTGTCAATAACGGAATGAATGAACGCATTTGTTATTGTTGTAAAAAAAGTTGATACATATATGGAATTTCGTTTTTAGACAGATTGCTTTAATGATTTGATAAACACAACACATTTCTGTATAATAAATGACAGTTATGCATGCCATTATTAATAGAAGCTCTCAATGGTCAAATATTAGATAGAAACATTACAGAAACCAATAAAGAACCGTATGTAAAATTGAACTTATAATTAGGGATTCTTATTTTTCAGATTGAGAAGGTTGCCTACGGGACCTCCAATGTTACTACTCAATTCAACTTGACGTAGTTGTATTTAAAAGGAAGATTTCATCTCTTTTTGTTATTCCTTGTAACTGATCTTAAACTGTTGATATGTTAAATAATATTATAGAATTAAACATATTTTGTCAGAGGTTATTGATTTGATAACTGACCGACCAACTCACAAGCTGAATAAAAAACTCGAAGCTTTATGAATTAGTGGCAAAGTTAACGCATCAATAATCTCTATATAATGTGTTTTCTTCTACACTTCATGTATTGTATTTAATTGCATTCACGTTTGTGCATATGTCTTTGTAGAACCAGCATGTGGAGTGTTTCCATGCTTAGGTGCATCAGACAGAGGACCAGAATGCAACTGTACGGGAAGTGGAAAGGAAGGACAGTTCTGTGATAACGGTAATTATATTGATATCTTTATTTTAGAACACTAAATTCTTAATTTATGACAACAAGTTAAACAAAATAAAAAGGAAAATATTTTGAAGACTTCCAATCGAAATGAGAGTTGTTGCGTCGACAAGGCGAGCTTCGCGATTCAGTATTGTCACTCCAAGAAGTATATTGACCTGAGAAAAAAAATGGCTTTTCCTTCTATGTTCCTTTTGGTCATAACGCTGCTAACGTTTCTAGTAATTATACATACCTTGGTTTCAAATGTTTAGGTTTGAGCGTTTCTGATGATGGTAAATATAAAAAAAAGTCAGTCGGTCTCACGAATTTATAATTGTTATTTTCATTATATCACGAAAATTATAAAACCGATTATAGTGCCAGATTGGTATTTTTTTTCTTTCGAATCTATGACACAAATAAACATCATTAACGAGTTAAAACGATGCCTTGTAGAGATCAACTAACGTATGGTGTCGATCGATGCACTTGTGAAGTTATAATTAAAGTCGTGTTTTTTATCAACATTCGGAATTGTCTTTAAGGTCAATAAATATCTTCCTCTGTCAGTGGATTTGCCGTAATGAGAACAGCCTCTGGCATATTTTATCAACGCAGATATGTTTACGCCATATAATAAGACACATGGTACATCTTTGGTATGTTACATTGTACAACTAATAAATTCATCATAGATACCGGAATTAAAAATTTTACTCCAGACGCGCGTTTAAACAAAAACAGAAATACTTAAATCATTGCTTGTGTCATAGATAATAGTTTCAAACCAGATTCGAACACAAAATATTTCAAATTACTCGCAAACCTTCAGTTTTCCGTTGCTTAAATTATACATTCTAAACTGTACGGTACTATGAAATGAATCTCCAACAACATTGCTTTAGTAAAATAAAGATTACTAATATACTGAAAGCGTTGACTGCATAATAGAGTTTATTGTTCATTTGTACCCTGTCTGTTAAAGAACCATTAGGTTTATTCCGTGCCAATGCATAGATGGTCTTATTTAGCACAGCTCTTTGCAATTATTTGGTTTTTAATGTTTCTCAACTTCGAACTTGGTTTGATCTAACTCTGTTTTGGTTCGTGCACCATGTATTTATGTAAAGAGAACGCGCTGCTGGTGTACTAAAATGAAAGCTTGTATCCTTGACTTTTTGTTGGTGACCTTTAGCAAAACAGAATTTCTGCCATTACCCAACATACACTCTTTTCTTATGGCAGTCTAAATTTTGCGATCTCCATCTACGTTGACCAACTTTATAAGAACCTATAAACATGTTTATGATCTTATTTGTTCTCGACCTGAACATGCATAAAATATGTCTGGCAAAAAAAAGTCAGTCTTTGGCAACTGGCACTGTGGTCGTATTTCACTTTTTATTAGCTCATCTAGCCCAAATTGTGAAATATTTCTATAACTTAGCGTCCGCCGTCCGTCGTCGTCGTCGTCGTTACAAAAATCTACCCCTCGGAAACAACTGCTCCATATATAACCACACATGCCCACAGTTAACCTTGTATAATCTAGTTAAACAACTATGTCTGGTGATACAGCCTGCCAACCAATAGGTCCAACAAGGCACATACATTGTCAGGGTAAAACACTAGTATTATCTAGTATCTTGTTAACTGTTGTTAATAGATAATCCAACAGGGGCGGAAATGTTCAGAATGATGAGATCTACCTAACGTCTGTTTGTACCAAAACTGTCAGACGACACCCTAAAGGAGATATTGCCCTTCAATGACAATTGTTGCTATTTTTTCCTATTATTTCGAAAAGTGTACAAGGTAAAGAGAAACTTCAAATATCAAAAGGGTCGAACAAGAAAAGATCTCCAAATAAAGCAGCATAGGAGATATTGCCATGAAAAGACTGTTTTACCAACTTTTCTGTGTTTTTGTTAATTATCTTTAAAAATAATGAATAAAGAGAAACTTTAAAAAGTAAAAATGATCAGTAAGACAATATCTACAAATAAACTTACATTGACTCCTTATAGAAATTATTTTCGTTAAAAAAGAGGCGAAAGATACCAAAGGGACATTTAAACTCATTATTCGAAAATAAATTGACAACGCCATGGCTAAAAACGAAAAAGACAAACAGACAAACAACAGTAAACAAAACACAACATAGCAAACTAAAGATTGAGCAACACTAACCCCATCAAAAACTGGGGGTGATCTCAGGTGCTCTGGAAGGGTAAGCATACCCTGCTCCACATGTAACAACTGTCGTGTTACTCCTATAAAACACGTTGATAAGTTATATAAAATGATTAGGGATCATGCAATAGCGTATTGGTAATTGACTCTTATCTAACCAGAAATTAAGACATCACCAAATTCTAGACCATCGGTCATGTAAAATGTTCTTACCCTGACACTTGACCGAATGTGTGAAATTTTGAAATTGAAACAGGTTTTTCATACAGTAACAAAGGATAGACGAGACTGTTACCGGTATAGACATGATGATTATTACGGCGGTTTGTTTGCATCTTTGCGTTTTATCTTGAGAACTGTAATAGATAGAGATAAACTCTAGATTGCAAAAAATACCAGCAAGAAAAAGATCAACTAATAAGTAAGTACAGCCGAAATCGTCAGTCGATTTCTTTAAGGAGTTATTACCATTAATGACCAATTATTTTCAATTTAGCCTATTATCTTTAAAATTAAAATAGCTTTAGATAAACTTTAAATAGTAAAACATATTAGCAATTTAAGCTAAGATCCATTGATTAGTTTACATAGATAAAAATGTCATTCCACTCCGTATATGAGTTATTGCCCTTATACAGTGTGATTTAGTTTTTTAATCCGTTTTGATAAAATCCCAAATAAAATATTGTTTACATAATTATCAATCGTGTTGATTAGCAAGAATGTGTAAAATTGTGACGTGTTGTGTGGAAACTGACCAATGGTCACGCAACAAAAGATCTAGTGCAGGGGCTCCCCAAAGGGATAGTCAAAAGTTAGATAAGAATCAAAGCTAAAGATTTCCGTCATCTGCATGAAAAAAGTTATTAAAATAACTTGCCTTCATGCAGAAATCATAGTTAAGTGAAAGTGTAAGCAACAAAAAAGATCAACAAAAAAGAGAACTTTTAGTCTTAAATTATAATATAGTTTATAACGTGGGAGGATTGACATTGCTGAATTTCAACACAGATCTTTAAAACCTCTAAAATTAGATATCTGTTGTTATTCTTGTTTTATGTCTCATTACTGTGATACGTAAAATTGGAGCTAACACTGTTTAATTAGCAAAGCGACATGGCAATTGTTTGCTAAATTAAGTATGAGTATATGTACACGCGACCAAATATTTTGAAAAACTCCAGAAAAAACGATTTTCTTTATTGTTTATTTTGATTATAGATGTAACATGCCTAAAACCAAAAGATCACAGGAATGCCAACTTGGAACCACATAAAGACCTGTATAATCACCAAGCAGAAGTTACATTCTCTTGCAAAACAGGATATAATAATGTATCAGGCTCATCAGTTAGACAATGCCAGGACGACAAAACATGGAGTGGTGAACCATATCTGTGTGACCGTAAGTACATTCTTGTATCTTGATCAAGTTTAAACCATTGTGGTGACGTAAGCCTATTCATTTACCGTGGATTCTTTTTCTAGAATCAACGCTTCCTAAATCTGCCGCTGAAATTGACTCACCAAATTATATTCAATTGTTTCCTTTGTGTGCCTAATTTCATTAAGTTTGAATTGGCTAATTTACTGATTTCTGTTCACTTATGGAATTAAAAACTTACCTTTAATTTTTGTAATTTTTATATGCCTTCACTGGGAACCTCTCGGCTACCAATGGGTTATACTATAGATGTCTATTTTATATATTTAAATGAACATCTGATATACATCGGTTCATCGGACACACAGGGCTTGTACCTTTATATAGACACAATAGGCAGTCGTATAGTATGAGTTGGAAGCCGCGAGGTTAGCATGGTTAAAATCAATGAGTTCAAGATAGGGACTTGTCGGTTTAGGTTCGAATCCCTGTATTATCTCTGTTGTTCTAATTCTTACGTTATCCTGGTTTTTTTTCTAATTTTGCATGTTGCAGTGGATATTTTTGTAATAATTGCGAGTTTTACCGGTTTTTTTTTAATTATTATTGGCTATTTCACATGTTTGAAACAAAAATGATTACATTCTATTTGTCAATTTTCGTTTCATAAATATATTATGATTTCATCTGTTTTACTACATAATTTTACAAAGGTTTGTTCGCAAATTCCTATGCGAGAAAATCGTGATGTGCCTAGAGTGCTAGAAAAATTTCGATAACATACTTATTATATATACTTTATATATGCTTTTTGGTCGGGTTGTTGTCTCTTTGACACGTTCCCCATTTCCATTTTCAATTTTATTAGGAATAATTTCGAATATGTCTCATTTTGTATAAACAGATAATATTTATATGCCTGGTAATATAAAGATCTTTAAAGGTAGTTATATTTGTATTTTGTTAACCAATTAATTGTGATCTGAGATTTATCAATGCATCGTTGGACATGATAACATGGTTATTTAAACTCACTTACAATACCTTCTAATTAAGAAAAGGCTTTAATTTTGAAAAGAAATTAACACAATAGTTTAAGTTATAGATACAATGGATAAGCGTAGGTTCATGAAAAACAAACCATTCGCCCTCCGGGCTCATGGTTTCTTTTTCAAGAATCCACGCTTATCCATTGTATCTATATAACAGAACCCTTCCACTGTACTGGAGTTCACACGTTTTTTCATTATGATATCCTGAAATCTGATAAGCATCAGATCTTTCACTTAACTCCGTTGGATTTATTTGTCACGTGTAATAATCTGAATTATCCCAATAAAGTGCCATATTCAGTGACATTTTAGCATCCAATCAAATCTTTCCCATAAAAAAGTTTCGGTATTCAATGCAATAGACTACTAAAGATACTTACGGGTACACTGCGAAATATTTCCGAATATAGTCATTAATTTGAATGTTTTAACTATATTTTAACTTGACATTGTTCCGATATAATGCACTGACATGATTGTGAACATTCCTGTAAGAAATGAAAACTGCACTTTACAATTTTCATGCGTTTGAAGAGCTTTTCTGTGTTTTCCTTTGTCAGGAATGCACAAAGCCGAATGTTTGAAAGTCAACAATGTATTAAACCCGAAACGATTGAAGAGCTATTTCATCAAAAAGGATACAAGTAATAGTCAAATGTTTGCCTGATGGAGTTGAAATCTTAGTTTCTTAATAATTTATAAATTTGTAAACGGACAATTTAAGAAAAGTTTGTTATAGATCATGCCGTTACCGAAGTAAAAACCCTCGGGGACTGATAGTCCATCATAAGTGGCATTGACCCAGTACGGTAAAATTTGATAACAACACCTTATAAATTTCAAGGATGGCTGATGGAAAAAATGTAATAATATAGATGCTTACATTTGCGTCGTTCGGTTTCTGGTGTATAGTTGTCTCAATGAAAATCACACCATATCTCCATTTTTCTATATTCATGGCACACGACACGTGCTATTTTAGTAACCATCATCAGATGTCATCAAAATATGGAACGTCATAGTTGTTCTGTCATATGTCAAAACCGAAACGGCACATTATAAAGTTCATGTGTCGGAAGCGCTTTTCTCGATTTACCTACATTCAGAACTCTCAAAGTCGATTATTTGAAAGACAAGAATTTATAAGAACGCATAATATTTGTCAAGTGGTGTTTTTATTTTGAAAGCACTCGGTCAAGATCGCTGATGGTTGACTATCAGTCCCCGAGATTATCATCAGCTCAGTAGTCAGTACTTCGGTACTGATACGATTTATAACAAACCTTTCTCAAATTGTCCGTTTATAAATTTATAACCTATTTGAAAAAAAAACTTAGGTTGTAACTCCCTTAGGCAAAGTTTACCTTAGACGGATTTGACAATTTTAGGTCCTTTTTGGTATATATCGCTTGAACTATTTCAGTTCTTATACTATTTTGGCTTTCAAATATTCCTGATGAAGGTAAATCCAGTAAAGCGCTTCGGACGTATAAAATTTATAAATTGTTGTTTTAATTTTTAGTTCACCTGGCCGAAAAGCCAAGTGAGCTTTTCTTATCACTGGGCATCCGTCGTCTGTCGTCCGTCAACCGTCGTCATCGTCCCTTAACTTTTACAGAAATCTTCTCTGAAACAACTGGGCCAAATTTAACCAAACTTGGCCACAATCAATATTTGGGTAAATAGTTTTAAAAATGTGTCCGATGACCCCGCGTGTCAACCAAGATGCCCGACATGGCTAAAAATAGAACATAGGAGTAAAATTCAAGTTTTGTCTATTATCTTCAAAATCGATATGAATAGAAAAAATCGGACTGGGGCAGAAATGTTGAGAATGTTGAGATCTACCTGCTGTCAATTTATGTCAAAACTGTCAGATGACTTCTTATAATAGAAGTTCTTAAATGTAAAATTTTATCAATGTTTTTTTTTTTCAATTTTGATGATGATTTTGACCAAAAATGGCTATTGTTGAAGATGCAGGTGAAAGACGCAGGTTCTTCAGAGCCTCTTATTTGGACATATGGCAAAACAACTATGACGTTCCTTATTTTGATTTTGCATATATCTAATGATGTTTATAAAATAACACGTGTCATAAGCAATGTCTGAAGATGTGATATGATTGACAAGGAGACAATTACTCACCAGAAACCAAATGACATAGATGTAAGCATCTATTATTAGATTTTTTTCCAGGAAAAGAAAGATAACTCACAAATAAAAATACACTATACTTCTGTTAGATACATTAAATAAAATTACATCTTTTGAAAAAAAGAAACCTTTGAATGATATGTTTGCATGCTACCTTGAAAGAATGATATTAAAATATGGGTTTTTGAATTATAATATTCTGCTTCCAGTATACAATTTCTATGATATTAAAGAAAAAGATCATAAAAAGAAAATTTTAATTACTAAAAAAACAATATACATGTGTATACTTTAAAATTCCTATTTTATATAATTATTTACAGCTGTACCTTGCGGTGAACCAGATAGTGGGACATTTTCTACGATAGTTAATATTTCTGGTATAGTATATTCAAAATCTGTAAACTACGAATGCATCACCGGATACGGTCATCAATCTGGAAATGATATTCGATATTGTCAACAGAACGGAACATGGAGTGGAAGCGCATTAGTATGTGAAAGTGAGTTGTTTTACTTACATACTTAGTCTATGAATAACTTTTATATAACGATAGATATCTGGGAGTAAATTGTTGTATGCAATATATCGTCTAAAATGCCTCTTTATGCTTCGGATTTTATAAAGTTAAATAAAAGCATTGAAGAGTCTCAAAATTGTCAGTTGCAACGAAATGAAAAACGATAGTATGCACAAGACATGATAGCTCCACACCAGCTCAGAAGCTACAATCGCATTTATATAAAAAGACAACGTATGTGAAGTGATAAAGAAATCATATCGTTTTTCCAGTCTGTTGGTTTTATTTTTTTCTCTTATATATATACCTTGTGCTATAGTCATACTCTTCCCCGTTGGTTGATATAGTCGAGCGTTTGATTTTGTCAGGTGTTATAGACTTCCTTTTTATTAATAAACCTTGAAGTTCGATATTTTTGTTAATACATTTTTTAAACATATCGACCAATCTAGTACATCACTTGATGTTTCAAAAATTGATATATTGATAGAATTTGATACAAACATGCATAATTTGTTATAATTCTTTCATACTTGGAGTTTCTAACAGTTACATGTACGATCCTTCGAAATTTGAAAAGCTTGACCATGCCCATTACATTTCTCTGATTGGATTAACAACGTCCTTATGTAAATATGCGTTTGCGAAGTTTTAAATTCTATTTACTGCATGTTTATCTAAATCTTATCTATATAAAAAGATAAAAATTGTAAAATCTTGATATGAAAATGTGCATACGAGTGAGTACGATGTTTATCCCTTTAATTTTTCTTAACCTTTTTACCCGTATACTAATACTTTAAATCGCATTTACCTTGATTTTAAAAATGCACGAAAGGGTGTTCGTATCATTAAGACTAGTCAGAACTTGAAACTTTTTTTCAATGACACTATTTATAAATTTACTTTGAAAACTTAAAGCTTACTGACTTCGAAAAACTTTACATTTAATGATATATTTACTTTTTTTTCAGAAAGCTGTTCAGAAGAACCATTATTAGAAGGCGTTACTCGTACAAATATTGGAAATCTTATCAACACCAATGCGACATTTGACTGTATAGCCGGTTTTATGTATGTCGGTGGTGATTTAACAAGACAATGCGGCGTAAATTTGACCTGGTCAGGAGAACCGTATAATTGTTCAAGTAAGTGCGAGTGACGTAGGAAAAAGGTTCCATTTTATGGAAGCGGGCTCAATATATCTGTATTAATACATCAGACCGTACTGCACTGGTTACCGGAATTTTGGATACACCAAACCAGGCACTTCATATCTGAGAAATAGGCAATATACACCCTCAATTTTGAAATTCATTCATACATTTTTGTATTATTCAAAATTATCAGTAAATTATGTGTTCTACAAGGATCACCAGTCCTTCACTTTTCATCTGATACCTTAATTACTAAAATATATGCTACATAGTTTTAGATTTACACCTATGCATAGGAACTATTTTGTTTTAAATATGTACTACTTTCCAGTATGTTCTTTTTTGACCGGGCCCGATTAGGTGGTGTTACATCTTACAAAGTCTATCCAAACTTATTTTTGCAAAGAATTCCGCTGAAGCCGTTGCTAGGGGCCGTCTTCAACTTGTAGTGAGGTGAGAGTTTTTTTTTTTTTGCTCCGTGTTGAAGGCCTCACTGTGACTTTGAGATGAAGAACAGCAATAAAAGTGCTGTTCCTTTGCTTATTGTGTGTTTTTTTGCTGTGCATGTACTGATTTTGTGTCATGAATGGATATCCCATATCCTTTGTTTTTCTATTGAGAGCGATCCTCCGTTTGTTCCCGGTCATATGAATTCCGGAAAGGAATCAAATGTTATGCATCATCAATTGTATATTTGAAAGACATCTGACATTTGTAAAATGTTAAAAGGATATTTCAGGTAAATTAAATGTTGTTGCTTAAATATCTGGTTAAAAGAGGTATGAAGGCCTACAGAAAGTATTTATTTACTGAAATGTTATAAAAAAAATTTAAAGATTTTTGTTTATAGGTAAAAAGGAAAAAAAAAGAAACTTTTGATATATTTCTCTTTCTATATAAGTAGAACTAATGGAGTTTAAAAATAAGTACTTGTACATGGTATTTTGAGATGTTTACACCAAATTTTAAAATTTTCATGCTGTGAGAAATTGGAGAGAGGCAGTACAGTTATCGTCTCCACGGTTGTGTTGATTAACAAACGTATGTAACGTTTCGAATTGGGGACATTTAACCCCTTTTTAACCGTATTTGTCTCCTTTAAATGTGTTATGTTTGTCAAATTAAGTCCCAATAGTGAACCACTTGACTTGTGATGGTAGACTAATAACTAGTTATGATATTTCATAAGATCTATTATGTTAAAAAAGATATATCATTAAGTCAACATAAGTGTATTTCCTAAAATATTTCTCTATGGAAACTGTAGATCTTTTAGTTACTTGTGTATTTGGATTGCTGTCAAAATGACATATATCCCAAAACTTGTTGTATATAATATTCCATTCATGAAACAATCTCTCTAGTATCCAGATAAATATAAAACGCAAACTGGTTCTGATGGAATCTTGAGCAAACTATTTAAGGTAGATCATAAGTATATATTTTTTTTAGATAGAATTTTCTTATACTTTGCCAAAATGAAGATTTTAATATGCTTTTTTCAAAAATATAATAAAGAGTATGGGTCACCGTGCTATTTTCCAAGCTACAAGTCGTGCAAAATTGGTCAAATTTGGTTAGATTGTTCATGAAAAAACACATTTGTGTGCAGAAAAAAAATTCTATGAGATAGAATTTTGAAATAAATTGTGAGAAGATAGGTTTCATAATATGATTTAAGAAAATAAAAAGAAAAAATGGTGTCACCGAACTCGTTTTCTTGCTACAAATAAAAATTTTAAATTTCCCTATCAGTCCAGTATAATTTTTTTACTAAGAGAGTTATTTCCCCTTAAAAAGCTTATTTGAAAAAAATGATTCTTAAAACACAAAACTTGATATTTGTTTAAAAATTTTGAATAATACAATAAATTACCAAGTTTTCTTAATATAAATAAACAGTCTAACCATAAAATTGCAAATCTGTCTCCAAATTTGCAGATTTGGGCAAATAACTAGACCGATTTTGTACTGCGTTTGTACAATCCAAGATGGCGGTATACCATGAATCTACCTTAAGGTATGATTAAAAGTTTACAATTCATAGGGGAAATACGCCACATCTCAGGAAATACACACCACAATAAATTATGAAAGGGTGTTTTTATAATATGTATAAATTTCCGACAAGCATTCATCTTGAAAGAAAACAAAATAAATCATTATTGTTTAACAATGCATTATACATGAAAGCACTCTTAGCACGGTCTATGTTTTGCTATTAAATATAGGAAAGTTACTTGTGTTTGAATTTTTAAAATAATATTTTTCGTATGTCAGAAATTAATATATAAAAAAAATATGGACACGACATCAATATCTTTCAGGAATTTCCTGTGGAGTTCCTCCAAATATCACAAAAGGATCTGTCGCCTTCACGTCTATGGTGTTTGAGGCTGAAAGTGTGTACACGTGTGATGTTGGCCATATCATCTCTAACTCCGATTTAAATAAAGGGACTGCAATCTGTGATCATACGGGTTTGTGGAAAGGTGTACTTCCAGATTGTCAACGTATGCATCTAAAGAAGTGAAATCAGACTAATAGATATAAGAAGATGTGGTATGCGTGCCAATGAGACAACTTTCCATCCAAGTCATAATTTATAAAAGTAAACCATTATAGGTCAAAGTACGGTCTTCAACACGGAGCCTTGGCTAACAACGCACAACAAGCTATAAAGGGCCCCACAAATTACTAGTGTAAAACCATTCAAACGGGAAAACCAACGGTCTAATCTATATAAAAAACGAGAAACGAGAAACACTTATGAACCACATCAACAATCAATCAGGTGCAAACAATTGCAGCGGGTTTAAATGTTTTAATGGTACCAAACCACAACATAGAAAGACACACTATAAAATATCAATTGAAATGGCTTAACTCAATCAAAAGACATATTATATTAACACAAGTGAACATACACTGAACGAATAAATTTAATCTATGATACAATGTAAATACAAATCAATAAAATAAGGGATGAATAATTAAAGTAACAGTATTATACTGCTGTGAAATGTTAAACAATTTCAGAAAAACAACAATAACCTTAAACATAAATCCGCCATTTACAATAATAATATTATACACAGGTAAATGAAAATTAAAATAATTTTGTTGTTAGGTATACAGTTTTAAAGGAGAAGGGAAATATTTTTACAAAATAAATAATTTTGATGTTCAAGAAGTGAAAATTTATAGTAATACCAAACACTTATCAAAGCTGGTATATAGACCAGATATCACCCTGAATAAGTAAACATTAAATAACAAAAAAGCATTACAAATAGTATCAAAAGGTCAAATTAACAAGAAAGTACGATTTGAGAGTACTCGCAGTTACTGACAGCTAGTTAAAAACCGAAAACAATTAATAATAAAAAATCATGCATCAGAGACTAAAATCAACTAAAACACATCCCAGGGATTTAGTATTTTAACGTCATGGACAGTCAAAGAAGATATGACTTGTGCAATGCCAAAAACAAATGTATCGACAGGCAGTAGGATAGTTAGGAGTTAACCTCCTAATAGATAAAAATGAATGTGGTTGTGTCTTTATACATCCCGTTTGAAAAGAATACAAATTTAGTTATGTTTTAATTTGCTGATGATAAAATCGATATTAGTGCCAATGTAAACTATATTCAAAGATCTAATTACAACATTGGTAAGATAACCTTTACTAATAAGTTTTTTTAAAGGTTCGATGAGTTTACACGGATCGCATAGTGATTTCTGCGCTTTTAGTACAATATTACCGTAAAATTTAGGATGTGAAAAACCGTTTTAAATTTACTAATCAAATCTGAATAATTTTAAAATAGCTTTAAAAATGAAGAAAGCTCTTTTTAAAACTGACTTAAAAAGTGAAATTTTATAGTTTTCGTTATAACATTAACGGTTATGCTGCACCATTTCGACGTTGGGTCTCTTCGGTGTAGATCGAGGCCATATTCAAAATTCCAAGACCTGCTACAAATGTTGAAGAGCTGATCAAACCATATTATATTGAATGATTACAGGATTTGATACCCGTCTCGATTTTTCATCTCGATGGATTCGTTAGAAATTTTAACAACTGAACTTAATCAATGCAATGTCATAATAGTAGCAAAATATCAAAACATAACTAAAAAATACTGAATCGGTATCACGAACTATTAAAACACCACCATTATAAAAAGAAACATTTTTTTATTTTTCTATCCTATATACCACTTTGCCTCATAATCTTATTAAGAAAAAATTCACACACCTGATTAATGGGCATTTAAAAAGTCGGAATGCGAATATATATTTTCGAACTCTTTTAGGTCATTTTTTAGTAACAACAAACAAAAGAACTATGTCAATTGGACCTGCTTTGATACCATAACTGCCCTTGAATATTTACTAGATAACATTTTTGTTCGCTATGGAGATTCCGTATATCGTCAGGTTATCGGAATTCCCATGGGAACTAACTGTGCACCACTTATTGCGGACCTGTTTCTGTATTGTTATGAGTTACAATTTATGACTAAAATTAGCAAAGACCCATCGAAACAACATCTAGTTTAAAAATTTAATAACACTTTTAGATATTTAGATGATATATTGGCTCTCAATTATGACGACTTCAGTATGTACAATAAAGAGATTTATCCTGCCGAACTGACTTTAGATAAAGCTAATACTTACAATGAACACTGCCCTTTCCTGGATCTTGATATCTATATCTTTAACGGGAAGCTTAATACCAAAATTTATGATAAAAGAGATGATTTTTCATTTTCTATTGTTAATATTCCATTTTTAGATGGTGATGTTCCCTTGTCATCATCTTATGGTGTTTATATATCTCAACTTGTTAGATTCGCTCGTGTATGTAACAACGTATTTGATTTCAACGAAAGAAATCTCTGTATTACTGAAAATTTATTACACCAGGGTTTTCGATATCACAAACTAGTCAAAACATTCACTAAATTTTATCATCGGTACAAGAACATCGTTCGTAAATATAAATCAACAATCAGACATATTATACGTTCAGGTATTTCACATCCAATATTTTATGGTAATATTCTTTACAAAGTACAAAAATGTCGGCATTCACCTCAAAAGCTAACCAAACCTTTAAACAGACTTATTTGGAAGGGATATAGTTACGATACTGTTGTCAGGTCATTAAGGATTGCATATTTTGGTATTAATATTGATTCACTCATAGGGTCTTTGCATCAGAAATAAACACATTTATTCTTAAACCAGTTGTTGGCATGATACGGGCTATGTTCTTCTCATATATTTTATGATGGTATGATGCTAAACCCCTAACGGGAGGGATTGTACCTGATTTTCATATGATGAAGACATAATCTTTCAATCAGTTTAATTGAGGTCTAGAGCTGGCATGTCAGTAACTGCTAGTAGTCCTTTGTTAATTTATGTATCACTGTCATTTTGCTTAGTTTCTTTTGTTACCCATTCTGACATCGGACTCGGCCTTCTTTTAAACTGAGTTTTACTGTGCGTATTGCTATGTGTTTCTTTATTCTACATTGGCTAGATGTATAGGGGGAGGGTTGAGATCTCACAAAACATGTTTAACCCCGCCGCATTTTTGCGCCTGTCCCTAGTCAGGAGCCTCTGGCCTTTTTTAGTCTTGTATGTTTTTTAAATTTTAGTTCCTTTATATGTTTTGGAGTTTAGTGTGACGTCCATTTTCACTGAACCAGTACACAATTTTATTTAGGGGCCAGCTGAGGACCACCTTCGGGTGCGAGATTTTCTCGCTGCGTTGAAGACCCATTGGTGGCCTTCTGCTGTTATCTGCTCTTTGGTCGGGTTGTTGTCTCTTTGACATATTCCCCATTTCCATTCTCAATTTAATAATTGATGCCTAAAAAGTAACCCTCTTCAAAAATTTCGCTATGCCCTTCGTTTTTCTTTTCTTTTGTACTTTGTTGAATATTAACATGAGTCAATGCTAGTACCGTTTTCTTTTATCTCGATGGATTCGATTTTTTTTTAATTGTAACAACTGCATTTGCTCAATGGATCGCTATCATGAACAATTATAGAACCATCATTATTGATAACAACCTGTTACCTCAATTTGTTGTTATTCTAATTTTTTTTTTTTTTTTTTTTTCTTATTATTTCTTTTAAAATTGAATAAATAAATAGTAAAGGGCTGCCTTTTTCAAGTGTTTTCTTTTGGATTATATATTGGAAAATCTCCATTTGATTGTTATATTATATTTGTCAATGTTTATCCAAAATATGAAAACAACACGTTATAAATGTTTTTAAGTTACCAAAAGAACTTAATCAAATAGATTTTAATCAGAATTTTTCTTTAAAGATTGCAATTAAAATTATGTTTGAAGATGTTTAAACACTTTGTGGGATCATACAATCTTTTAATTCAAAATTTTGCATAAAATCGAACAATCATAATAATAGTTATTGCACTAAAATTGCAGAAGTGGACTTATCATTCTTACACTTAAAAGAATAGTATAAAATAGGAAATTTCATTTTATTCCTGTTTCCCTTCATAAACCGATGCATACAAAGGAAATTCCTGTTTAAAAATAGAAAATGAAAATGTTGAAATTAGTTCTAAGTAATAAATTGTGTTATTATTTCAGTTGTCGAATGTCAGGCCCCTGCTCTCATAACTGATGGCTCATGGAATACCAGTTCCAAGTACTTTTATGGAAATATCATAACTTACCAATGTGACAGAGCCTTCGCCTTGATTGGAATAGAGAGTCGTACTTGTCAGGCAGACAAAACCTGGAGTGGTGTGCCGCCAACATGTTCAGGTACTCGTTGTGATTATGTATCAATATGTGTTGTAGGGGGGTGGGGTTAACATAATAGTGTAAAACAATCACTTCACAATTGATATCAAATATCAAAAAAAAAATAAATACATCACTGATTTTTTTCCAGCTGTCACGTGTCAAAATTTAATAGTTCCAAATGGAAATGTGTTTGCTTCCAACTACAGTGTTGATGGTTTTTTGGCAGTTTCATGTAATGACGGATTTATCTTGAAAGGTTCCATTCCAATATTTTGCTTAGTAACAGGAGTTTGGAGTGGTGCTGACCCACACTGCATAAACACGAGTACTTCAACAACAGGTAATGTTGTTATTTTCGAATATTACAGTAACTTAATTACTAAATTAATGTTTGAAATCACAGGAATTAATATAAAAGGGTATATGTATTTATCACCTTATTCATTTATTGATATGAACTTATGCATTATATTACATACTGCCTCTGTGGTATCGTGGCAGCTTTATTTCCTCTAGCGCCAGAGTCATGGGTTCAATCACCGACCGGGTCAAACCAAGACTTTAAATAGAATGCACTGCTTCTCATTTAAGCGCGCGGTATTCAGGAGTAATTGCAAAGATTGTTTGGCTCAGAGTCTAAATAATGTGTTCGTACAGAGTGACATGTTTTCCTACGGACCGTTACCTTGTGAACAAGCACGTTAAAAATTGAACTCAGTGTAACGGTCTAGTAGAAACACAGGGATCATATTGATATCACATTTACATATTTTCGTCCTGATCGATATGCATGTAATTTTTGACATTGGACTTGGAAGCACAAATTCATTCTCATTATATAATACAAATAAACATATAAACTTAAAATTAAATTAAAGAAAGGTAAAAACAAATGCGTTGAGTTTTTTTTTTATTCGAATAGGGATGACGATGGAACAAAATGAAATGACCATTGAACCAATTTATAAATATAAACATTTTCTGTATAGGAATGGGGATATGTGGTATGATTGCAACATGCGACAACTATCTTTGTTCGTTAACAATTTTAATTGAATGCAACATGTGTATGTCGATCATAAGGTTGACAAAATTTACTCTCGTATCCTGTGGACACTTTGTTGTTTTTTTTTACAATGACGCAAACACGAGAGGATTGTTTTACACAGTAATATATATGTACAAGGATAAGTTGTTTTCATATTTCAAGGTGACGGCAGTAGTCAAAATAACGGACAAACAGATACCACCCAAATGAATCCAAAAGATTTTATATACAAAGTTGACAAGAAAACAACTTCATCGTATAAAAGAAAGCTAGTAAGTGCTCCAGATGACAGAACATCAGCGATAGTTGTTGGATGGGTTGGTGTGGTTGTTTTAACTGTTGTTATAGCTATAATAGCTTCTTTAGACTGCATAAATATTTGTCAGAAAGCTGGAAGAAAGAAAAGAAAAAGATCTGTGCGAGACACTAGTTCACTTGATTCCAACATTCCACATGTTATTGAATGAGACAAATGAAAAAAAAGGATAAGCGTACACTCGGGACTCCTTCGGCCACATAAAAGTGTTGTCTGAGGAAATGCTTTCTTTGCATTACTCACTATAGATAAAAAAATTTCCTGTGCTATCAAATAGTATGTTTTGCGATTTTTATAACCATACTCAAGAAGTTTTCTCGTTTGAATTGTTTTATATTTGTCATTTCGGGGACTTTTATGGCTTCTTATGCGGTATGGGTTTTTCTCATTGCTGGAGTCCGTACGGTGACCTATAGTTGCTAACTTCTACGTCAATTGGTCTAAGGTGGAGTTGTCTCATTGGCAATCATTCCACGTCTTCTTATTTTCATAATTGATACATGTAATGCAAAGAGGTTGCTGAAAGCATATATTCCCCAACAGTTCATAAACTGACCAGAATCGGTAAAATTTGGAATTTTATCTTTCAGCCCTGGGTATCCCAAACTGAAAAAAAACTATATTAAAAACTAGAAAAAGGTCACTTTATTCCGAAGAAAACCCAATACACTCTTTTAATTTATTCTTAGCAAAATCTAGGAATTGTATTTTTCTTCTTGTTGAATACAATGTAGGAGACTCATCTGGAGAGTAATTTGATTTTCATTTAACAAATTAGAATAACACTTTATAATTGCATGCGTCCGAAGCGCTTTTCTGGATTTACCTTCACCAGGAACTCTCAAAGACGAATATTTAAAAGCCAAGTATGTATAAGAACCAAAACAGTTTAAGAGCTGTATGACCAAAAAAGATCTTAAATCAATAGCCAAATCCATCTAAGGTCAAATTGGCCTGGGGAGTTGGAACCTGCTAAATGTGGTTTGTACATATTATTTCTTCAAAAGAAAGACCTATCGTTCTGGAAAAAAAATAGTTAAAAATAGGTTTAAAGACCACTGAACATCTTATTGTAGAGAGATTTTTTATTTTTATTTGTCACTACATTTACCGGTTTTATCTGTTGGTGTTCATGGAGTAAATTTTGTGAGTTTCTGTTTCTGTTTTTCGATTTGATTTATTTGTCCCATTTGTGTCTCCTTCTCAATTGTACGAATTTGGTATACAAGCTTATTTGAAGAATGCTATTCTAAACAAAAGTGCCTTATGCATGGTTCAAGGGATGGTACATTTGAATAGGTTGCTATATAGGATCATATAGGACCAATTTCCCTTGAATTTCTTTCACTTTCAAGATCAAAATACTAAATGGTCGAAACATATTGGAATTTTAGTATTGAAGACTCCAAAAAATACACACAAAAGATTTGACAATAGTTTTACACATCCATTACATCAAAATGTTATTCAGCTCAGTGCATTATTTTAGAAGACGACTTCGATGCAATGTTGCAATTTTGCATGTAACCAAATTGAACTAATTTGTATCTGAAAGACAAAACAGCTTTACTTCCAACAGAGTTTGGTTAATAAAGCCCATCTCATTCATTTTTTCCCGATTATTACTAAAATCTAACCAAATTGAACTTTTTAGGCCATATCTTGGTGTATTTGAAATTTTGTTACTTCCTCAGAAAATTGCTACAATGCTGTTACAAAATCTAAGTACACATATGAAACTGTAATACTATGAATGTTTGTGTAGATAAGAAGATATTTTTTAAATGACCTTAGCGTGAAAAATTAAAAAAGCCCTACCTCTTCTAATCGTACAGCATCTTTATATATATTAACTATGTGTGAAAGGTGTCTCTGTAAGAATTGTACATCATTATAACAGTGTTTTGAATTTAAAGTGTTGCAGGTGTGCTTTGTGTCAGTATTTTATAGAGCTATTTTACCTTGAATTTCTACAAAATGTTAGCAAAATGTGTACCTTTAATTTTTGTGTTGACAAATAAGAGTTGTATGAAAACTACTTAAGTGACAGATGAAGCCTCTGAAGAACAGGTAGTTTAAAAAGATTGTTATTGTTTTTGGTACATTAACTTTAAAGTTTATTTTTTTGTAAATCTAGTGTTATCTTTGTTTTTATATTGATTGAAATAAATCTTCTTATTAAATTTTAATGTCTTGATTGTGTACATGTAATCCACTATAGAATAGCGCTTTTACTCAATATACAACATGCAACATCGAACGCACCGAAACAGGTCTGTTTATCGATAAGACAGATATTGCGATGCCATTATATCTCATAGAACAGCAAAAGGCATACTAAAAATACACGGAGTAAATATAATATACACAATTTGCAATAAATGCAGACAAGCAGGCAGTGGCAATTCTGAACTGAAATTCTTCTAAAGGTTTCATTTTACCGAAACAATGTAGATTTATTTTTATTTGTTTGCAAAGTTTAGCAAGGTCATACCTCAAATAATCGATAAGTCGACTACAAATTAATTGGATAAAAATAATGTTATGACAATGGTTGAAAAGTGACCTGTTCAAGTCACGTCATGCTACCTTTTTATAGATTTGTTCAACACCTCAAGTACAAAAGCTTGTGCATTGAGATGTCGGCATATATGATCTAATGAAATACATAAAAGACTTTCAAACTTGGTATTTACTTCTTCCCCACAATAAACACAGTATTAAGTAGTAAAAGCAGAGTCAAAATGATGCGTCATACAGGGTAACGAGGTGTAACCGGTAGGGTCGTATGTTTCAATGGTGATTTTTATCTTGTGAGCTATATATAAAAAAAGCTATAGCAATTTTTTAAACAAAATCCTACTCAAAAGTAATAGTAAAGGTCAAGGTTGCACTTTGTAAATACAGCTGTTTCTCAAACCACGCCTCTTTTGGGGAGATATATAATATTCATAGATATGTTAATTTGATAATGTACTGGTTCCCATTTATGATCTCTGTGTTTCATCTCATAGAGACATCACTTGGGAATGTAACCAGTACAGAAAAACATGGTAGCGCCTAAATTTTAATTCTTAGGAGGTCCAAATATGAAGGTAAGGGTTGTATAGCATTTTAGTATAAGTTTAAACTCATAGAAGTTCAGGGCATATAAATGTTGAAAATATGCCGCACAGCCCTATATTTTGACCTTTGAATAAAATAGTAGTGCATATAAACTTTCCGTTCTGGGATATTATTTTTCACGAAACTTCATAGTAAAAGTGTCACAGTTTTACCTGCAAGGGGAGTTCCTATGGGAAATTGCATTGTCTATATTTACAGAATTGCAACCTATATAGGGTTAAAAAATAGAACATACAGAATTTCACAAAATCTGGTTTATCGCAGAGATTTTAAAGAATTTAACTCAAATATAAAGATTTATAAATATTTCATGAAGATTGAGAAAATCCTGAGCCTTAACTATGATGACTCAGCATAAAATCACAGTTTACAGTATGCATGGTTTACTTGAGGCCATGAATTCAAAATAAATTCAAAATATATGCCTATTTGTGATTTGAATTGTTTAGAAGTGCTTATATTTACTCTTCGCAGTCATTGCAACTCATTGATCCTTCCTAAATAATTTTGTTGGGTTATTTTTGTCTTGTCGATAACCCAAAAGTAAGCCGTAACACCTAAATGTGTTTTTTTGTGACCGCGGCATTAAAAAGTACAAGCTAGAATTACAAAAAGACCTCAATAAAACTTACAATAGTGTGTTCTATCCTAAATATATACTAAATATTCCACCTTGCTAAGAACAGGGAAAATATTTAGGAAATGTGAGGCCCCAGGGGGCAAAAAACAGAAAAAAATGCCTACCCTGGGTCATAAAACATATAATTTAACTTGTAAATGCTATGCTTTTATTATTTTCAAGGTCTTTTGTAAACAAAACAATAACTGTGCTGGAAAGTTATGCAAAAATAAGATGTAAGCAGTCATTTCTATCAAGCTTTTATTGAATTTATGCACCAGACTGATATCTTCTTATATACAATTTTGCAAATATGGCTTTGTTTAGACACTTCTAGTTCATACATTAACATACTTATGTTAGTTATATGGTTAGAGATGATACTGTTGTGACAAGAATTCTTTACTGACCATTTGAGACAGAAATTGTGAACTTTCATTGACAAATAGGCATACAGTAAGATGTGGACTGGAGACACAGGCAGGATTGGATACTTTGTATAATCTTGAATGTTGGAATGATTAACTACTAAACAATACATTTATAGTATTCTAAAATGATTTCAATTTGTTATCAGAATAGTTTCAAACATGTTTTAGACATTTCATGTCAGAAAACATGCACATAGGGAAAGCTGGCAATAATTAAAGTCTTGTTTTCAAATTCTTCAAAAAACTGAAACAGGTGTAGGGGTATAAAATGTACTGTAAAAGGAAACTTAGAGTATATGCAGTGATTTCCTTAAGGCTATAATTCTGATAAATAAGTATTGTTGTGAGAAAAAGTGTTTTTAGAAGGTTATCTATTTGAATAAATGTTTGTATAGGTTGCACTTTGTAAATACAGCTGTTTCTCAAACCACGCCTCTTTTGGGGAGATATATAATATTCATAGATATGTTAATTTGATAATGTACTGGTTCCCATTTATGATCTCTGTGTTTCATCTCATAGAGACATCACTTGGGAATGTAACCAGTACAGAAAAACATGGTAGCGCCTAAATTTTAATTCTTAGGAGGTCCAAATATGAAGGTAAGGGTTGTATAGCATTTTAGTATAAGTTTAAACTCATAGAAGTTCAGGGCATATAAATGTTGAAAATATGCCGCACAGCCCTATATTTTGACCTTTGAATAAAATAGTAGTGCATATAAACTTTCCGTTCTGGGATATTATTTTTCACGAAACTTCATAGTAAAAGTGTCACAGTTTTACCTGCAAGGGGAGTTCCTATGGGAAATTGCATTGTCTATATTTACAGAATTGCAACCTATATAGGGTTAAAAAATAGAACATACAGAATTTCACAAAATCTGGTTTATCGCAGAGATTTTAAAGAATTTAACTCAAATATAAAGATTTATAAATATTTCATGAAGATTGAGAAAATCCTGAGCCTTAACTATGATGACTCAGCATAAAATCACAGTTTACAGTATGCATGGTTTACTTGAGGCCATGAATTCAAAATAAATTCAAAATATATGCCTATTTGTGATTTGAATTGTTTGGAAGTGCTTATATTTACTCTTCGCAGTCATTGCAACTCATTGATCCTTCCTAAATAATTTTGTTGGGTTATTTTTGTCTTGTCGATAACCCAAAAGTAAGCCGTAACACCTAAATGTGTTTTTTTGTGACCGCGGCATTAAAAAGTACAAGCTAGAATTACAAAAAGACCTCAATAAAACTTACAATAGTGTGTTCTATCCTAAATATATACTAAATATTCCACCTTGCTAAGAACAGGGAAAATATTTAGGAAATGTGAGGCCCCAGGGGGCAAAAAACAGAAAAAAATGCCTACCCTGGGTCATAAAACATATAATTTAACTTGTAAATGCTATGCTTTTATTATTTTCAAGGTCTTTTGTAAACAAAACAATAACTGTGCTGGAAAGTTATGCAAAAATAAGATGTAAGCAGTCATTTCTATCAAGCTTTTATTGAATTTATGCACCAGACTGATATCTTCTTATATACAATTTTGCAAATATGGCTTTGTTTAGACACTTCTAGTTCATACATTAACATACTTATGTTAGTTATATGGTTAGAGATGATACTGTTGTGACAAGAATTCTTTACTGACCATTTGAGACAGAAATTGTGAACTTTCATTGACAAATAGGCATACAGTAAGATGTGGACTGGAGACACAGGCAGGATTGGATACTTTGTATAATCTTGAATGTTGGAATGATTAACTACTAAACAATACATTTATAGTATTCTAAAATGATTTCAATTTGTTATCAGAATAGTTTCAAACATGTTTTAGACATTTCATGTCAGAAAACATGCACATAGGGAAAGCTGGCAATAATTAAAGTCTTGTTTTCAAATTCTTCAAAAAACTGAAACAGGTGTAGGGGTATAAAATGTACTGTAAAAGGAAACTTAGAGTATATGCAGTGATTTCCTTAAGGCTATAATTCTGATAAATAAGTATTGTTGTGAGAAAAAGTGTTTTTAGAAGGTTATCTATTTGAATAAATGTTTGTATAGGTTGCACTTTGTAAATACAGCTGTTTCTCAAACCACGCCTCTTTTGGGGAGATATATAATATTCATAGATATGTTAATTTGATAATGTACTGGTTCCCATTTATGATCTCTGTGTTTCATCTCATAGAGACATCACTTGGGAATGTAACCAGTACAGAAAAACATGGTAGCGCCTAAATTTTAATTCTTAGGAGGTCCAAATATGAAGGTAAGGGTTGTATAGCATTTTAGTATTAAGTTTAAACTCATAGAAGTTCAGGGCATATAAATGTTGAAAATATGCCGCACAGCCCTATATTTTGACCTTTGAATAAAATAGTAGTGCATATAAACTTTCCGTTCTGGGATATTATTTTTCACGAAACTTCATAGTAAAAGTGTCACAGTTTTACCTGCAAGGGGAGTTCCTATGGGAAATTGCATTATCTATATTTACAGAATTGCAACCTCAAGGAAGTTTCAAATTATATAGTGCCATACTCGGTATGAGTATGTATGTATTACTTGCTGCTTGACGTGAAACATCCTTCAATTAATCAATTTAGACAATATTGAACGTTTCTCTGTTATATGACAGGCAAAATAGTGCAGTTAGGCGACATTATTATGTAAGGAGTACTTATCAACACCTTCTCCAAACATTTTTTAAACATTTATATCAGTTTCCGATCAAGTAAAACCTGACTATAAAACCTGGTTTAACCCTTCGAAAAATACCTGTACCAAGTAAGGAATATGACAGTTGTTTTCCATTAGTTTTGCTGGTTGATATAGTCTAACATTTGATTTTGTCAAGTTTTAAGGACTTCCGCCTTTTTTTAATTCATCTTGGAGCTCGTAATTCTTATCAACATTTTTTTTTCTCAAACGAGATGTCGATCAAAGGTGCCTGGCCGTATTTTTGGTAAGTTCTGTTGGGGAAAACTTTTTTTCA